GGGGGGAGGGGGGGAGGGGGGGGGAGTCAATACAGGATCAAATTAGGGAAGCAAACAACAACTAAACATGTCGTTCCATATCGAGCTGTAAGTGGAGAACATAAACATCACGTGTTTGTACATGTCACCTTATATGATAGCATGGATACGATATCCGCATGAACGGAACTAAGTTGTATACCACTATAAATGTTCCCCATTAGTGAAGATACAAATTAAATGCCGAATGATGGGCAACAAAATAGAAATACATTTGTTTTGATGTTGTTCGAAGGGAGACAACTCTAACTACAGGTTTATAACTATAATTCCTGTATAACATACTGTTTTACTAGTGCGTCTACAACATGTCATATTGTTTCTGTTATTATGCATGTTTTGCTGATTGAGATAAAAAAAAAATCCCTTTTTTGGAGTAACTTATCGACAAAAGTGTTACCTACTGCGAGTGTTTTATAATTAGTTTTCAGTTTTGTTTGTACAAAAACAGTTTTTGCATTACTTATTTTTTATCATTTTTATGTCCTTACTTACGCTGAAAAATATTCTCCCTCCATCCCACACGAAGCCATAAATCGGCAATTTTTAGCTTGGACCGTACAAAGGTCGTCGTCGTGTATTAGGAAAGATTGTTGTTGGGTCGTGCCTTCACAAATATTAAGAGAAAAATGATTCTTGAAACACGAACAGACGAATGGCTGATGAAAAGTTCGAAGTTATTTTCGCAGTATTAAGTATAGTGGCGTATATGATCATGAAGTAACACACCAAAAACGTGTAGGACTAAACACTTGTCAATCTGATGTGATGATAAAAATAACGAATTTCGGGAAGTGCTTTGGCATGTTGGAAAGACGTAGTACGTAGGTATATATAATCATGCAACACATCAATTGAATCGGATTACAAACATGGTACAAGTAAATAGTGTATTTGATTCTTATACCCACTTCAGCATGGATTTCGCAAATCAAGATCATAGATGATATTTTCAACAAAATGGACAGTGGCACCCATACCGACATTCTCATCATGGACTTTTCAAAGGCCTTCGACAAAGTAAGTCACTCCCTCCTTATCCATAAGTTGCGGCACTACGGTGTGAGTGACATAGTTACCACATGGATAGAAGACCTGTTATCAGACAGGACACAGTCTCTCATTGTTGAAGGTGAAAAGTCTGAGTACGTGAATGTCATGTCTGGAATCCCCAGGGCTCGGTCATCGGCCCTTCATCATCAACGACATGCCAGTGGGTCTAGGTGCAACTGTCCGTCTATTTGCGGATGACACCATTGCCTACCTAGCTATCAAATCAAACAGTAATGCTCTAAGGCTACAGGCTGATCTAGACCTACTTGCACAGTAGAAAATGTCATTCCACCCTGACAAGTGTATTGTCATTCGCTCCAACATGTAGATGATGCCAAATATCTGGGCCTTAACATTCAATCTAACCTCAAGTGGGACACTCATATAAATAAAGTCGGTGCAAAAGCCAACTCCACCCTAGACTTCCTTCGTAGAAATCTTAAAATAGGTTCCACATCTCTCAAGGAAAACCCATACAAAGCCCTCGTCAGACCATCTCTTGAAACAATAAGACAGACATCCAACACATAGAAATGGTGCAACGTAGAGCTGCTCGGTATGTCACAAACCGGCACCGGAACTTGTCCAGCGTTGGTGACATGCTTAATACGCTGGGCTGGCCTTCACTAGAAAAAAGACGCAAGGATATGCGCCTCAGTACCTTCCATAAGATTGTACACAACCAAATAGCCATACCCATGGACATCTAAAAGCCCCCATCACGTCTCACCAGACACGCCCATGCTCATTCCTTACAAGTACCTTTTTGTAAAATCCAGGTCATTTTTCCCACGAACAATATCTGATTGGAACCGCCTCCCTCCAGACATCTGTGAACTTAATAAAATAACTGCCTTCAAATCCGCCATAGCTAAATTACCATAAATCCCTATTTATTCATTTATTTATTTAATTATAAAGCTATTTACTTATTTATTTTCCCCTCCTTATGTAATGATCTCAATATAACATAATCTTCAACTTGTTGAAGGCGGTTATTATAATGTAAAAGTAGAAGTAGTCAAGAGAGAAATCGTTACAAGAAAAAGGCCTTTGGTTATAATGTGTTGCATTTCTGATGTCAGGTTGTTTGTGTGATAAATATAGCTGCAAAAAATGTTTTGTTATTATTTCCTACAAAGATCCTGAAGTGTAAGGATCAACAATGCAGATGTTATAGTAGTCAGAGAAAGCCAGGATGTGTTTGATACAGAGGTAAATGTTATCTCAACACCCGAAACGACATTACGCCGCGACGCCGTCAAAAGTCTCGCACTTAAGAAAACCCAGTGGGGAGAGATCTCCCGCGCTGGACTCCCGGATTAGTGTGTGAATAAATACAAGTATATTGTGTCTATGTATACATATAACGGACTAGTGCAATACTAGATACATCTGGTAGCCGCGCATTGATATACATATGTGTATAAGTAGTTCCGAATAAAGCATACATTTTCCAGGAAAAATAGTCGTTTATTGTTTCTGTGCATGAAACCAATGCAAATACATAACAATAAGTCGAGTTGTTCATTGTCACAAGAAAAAAAAATTGCTATGATAGACTGGTTTGCTATCCGTATTTTGATAGCATTGTCCTGATCACGTGTGCCTATTCTCCAAACGACTATGTTTATTTCGAGTGTTTTAATCTGTGAGAAAAGCTGACTATGTCGTTCATAGTTTCCTGCTGGAAGTGACCTGGTTTACTGTTTTATGCGACAGAAATTGAATAATGTGAACATGTGTTACTGTCTTTGATATACAATTACACAATTATTATTCCACAAACGGTGAATTTGTCACAGTGATAGAAAACAAATATATTAACCAAAATATCACAATTGTTACAAAGCTCATAAGGATTTCATTTTATACACTGTAGAATGAAAATATTTGATTGTCCAGTTTTTGCTGTTTTTGTGACACATTTCAATATCAACAAAGCAACTTGTATACGTGAACATTTTCCTGGTTAACTAAACTCGAAATCTGCAAGAATGTCCAGAACGATAACTTTTCCACTTGCATAGATCTGGCAAAAAGGATTGTGTTAATGAGGCAAATAATGTAATGAATCAGTTTTACTCAATTTCAGGAATATTGTAGTTTAAGATAAACTTACAATGTTTCACGACATATTGCATTGATAATCTGTTTGAATGATACACGACTACAACTTATACCCATTGTTATCAGGTAAAATAATGACGAACACATATTGTCATTTACAATTTATTTACAAGAAGAGACATTGCGATTTGACCATACAATGCTATTTAATATCACAAACCATCATTCAGAAATATTTACATTCTGGATGCCTAGACCCATTGACAAAAAATACATTCATAAATGCATAACACAGGTGTTCATAGAATCTCAGCACGTGGGAACTGATAGTAACCTGATCACACTGCGTAGTAATACACTACAAAAACTACTCACTCGGAACGACCGAACTAGATGCTTAATTCTTACATCTTAAAATATTATTGAACTGTGCTTTGTGAAATATCCACGTATTCACGTGTCCTGTGCTACAAATAAACATTGAATATGGAACTACATTTTGTTGTGTTATTGTTGTTGACGGTTGCTAAGATCTCTCACGATAGTGTCACATTTCCCCGCGAAAAAACACTGTTCTCGCCACTGCGTTGCACCCGTGTATAAGCAGGAACAAACCCTGTTTATTTGTTTTATTCGTTGTTATATCGATCCACTGAAAGGATTCGTCAATGTAAATATAAGGAATGATATTTATTTTTTCAACATTTATGAGGTCATAACAACAATGGGTTTTTGGACATATTTTACATGAATCGCTAACGCGATTCATTCAATATGTCCATAAACCCATTGTTGTTATGACCTCATAAATGTTGAAAAAATAAAAATCATTCCTTAAATATTCAACATCCACGCAGTGTGTGTGGGAGAAGTATGAGGAATAATATAACGAGGGGCAGAAAACGGGCGTGGTTATGTTTTGGAACAGCTTTGCGCGTTCGTGTAGTATTGAAGCGCGCGTGTTCCATGATATCCAAACACCCGTGGTTAAACACATCGTTACAGAGCTTACTTGGTATAATATAATGTATATGTTCAATTAAATATGGTCTATTTGTGTGATCTCTTATTCAATATTTAACACAATTCGTCTTACAAAGCTCAGGAGATGAGAAAATATATTCTAATTTAAATTACGATTTGTGATTTACGCCACATATTAATCGTAAATCCACAATGAGAAGAAATATATGACCATAGAAAGGATCCGGACCAAGACCAACCCCCCTTTCGCATATCCTGTTCAACCTGTTTGTTTGTTTTCTGTAATAAATCATAGCGGACCTGCAAACGTTTCTGCATGCCTTGCAAGGCTTTGTCTTTAACGCTCTCATGAAAGCAGCCTCATATTACTTAGTCCTGTCTTATTTCATAAACGAACAACGCTTGTTCATCCGGTCAAATCGGTCCAATCGTCTGGATCGCCAGGTACGGAGTTCACGCTCTATATATACGCGTCATCATGTTCTACAAGATGTTGTGTTTATTGGGACAAGGTCGTGTATTGTATAGTTTGTCCCCACACCAATCTCAGCCAAAGTTTCGCATTCCAACTGGAATTCATATGGTTTGGCATACAAAAGCAGTTGGATATTCATATCAACATTTTACCACGCGTAATTAAAATAAACATAGTCTGTGTATCCTAGCTTTATCTTAAAGAAGCTAAAATAATGATGACGTTACCAATCTAGCAAAAAGCTGTCATTCACCCGCTATGGACGTAATATTAAAATAACAGTGACAATCAGCATACGTATATTGATTTCAACTGAAGACGTCATTGTGTTAATTAAGTTCAAGGAAAATGCTTGTTCCGACATTTTTCACACCAATTTAGCGACCTTTAATCTAATGTATAACACAGACAGTAACAACAAATGGATTGGAATTCTAGGGTCCAAACCCTATAATGATTCTGCACTTTCATCGGGAAAGCAATATGTATGAAAATAACTTCACAAAAAATCATAAATATTTCATGGTTCAGTTAATCGTTTGTCGAAGCAAGTTTTACGTAGATCTTAATTCAAAGATTAATTCCATTAATACATTGGTATCTAAAGAATTCCTGACTGGAAATATATCATTTAAATTCTTCAGTCCTATATAATTATTTACAAATCTTCTATCTCTTCACCCCTTGTTCTATGACAGATCTGGGGCCGTATTCTTTCGTTAGGGTTATAGTTAGTAAAACAACAATTCCCTGACATAAATTTTGCCTTGTCGAACTGAAACCAATTTTTCAGAAGAATGTTTATTGCCGATTCATCATATTGATGACACTTAGCATAAAGTCTCCCGGAAAAGTCAAAATCACAGTTGCTTCCGGCGCCATGTGGCGCAAGGCATGCTGGGTTCATTGTGCAGGAGAGTAGTGGCTTCATCAAGTTTTCTCGGAGCTCTTCTGTATTGTGCATGATCAGAGCATAAATTTCGATGTGCGGGACTGATGCCAACTTCTTTCGGTCTGTCGTGATGAACTTGTACATGTCGGGGTGTGTGACGGCGAAGCTTGTGTATCCGGCGGCCTGCCCTATCACAAACACGCTCGTGTCATGTGCCTTTGGCACCTGAGTCAGGAGCTTCTTCGCATTCTTCAGGCACATATTAGGGTTCAACCACGTGATGTGTTCAAACTCTGTTACGGCGATCTGCGAGAATAATATAATGAATCTTAATTCTGCCTGTTAATGTTCGACTTACAATCAATAAAAATATCACAATTGAAATTCAAATTATACACAACGTTGCTTTGTTAGGTACTTACGTGCATTACAAGCGGGCGCCAGTGAAAGTTGGTGATGTTTTTGACAAACGGTGGAAATACATCCACCATCAGACTGCGCATGCGTACATTACACATGGCTGCTAGCTGCAAGTGAAAACAATGTAATGAGCTGTCTTTCTTAAATAAACTAAGAGTTCCTTGTATTCAACGAAACAGCCGTCGAAACCGTTAAGTTTCTAGATCTATGTTATACATGATTATTTTCCTTAAATAAGAAAACATTTTAGCGCCATTAAATGTAGGCTTTCAATATTGCATGGCCTCGACTCAAGATTATCTCGATGATTGATTTGTACATCTATTGAGAAGAAAACTTACCAATTTGTGCTGTCTGGGCTCGAGGTCGATATCGTAGATATACATCTTCTCGTTGGGGAAGAAGCGCTGGACGGAAATGATCAGTTGTTCTAGCTTCAACACGTCCTTTTTCAGGGCGGCCGTTACAAGGTTAGGGAGACCGTGGTCATGTGGTCTCACAACCTCGTGGTAGTTTAAAGGCAGGGCTTCTACCTTATTCACAGCTTCTTTCATTTTCTCTATTTCCTTGGGTGGTACAACGTCGATGACGTCATCGTGTGATAATGCCTCCTGCACGTGCTTTTCGGAAGGATGTTCTAACTTGATATCCTCATAAGCATCCTCCATGATGTTGGCTATCTCTCTTTGTATTTCTTCCTCCGCCTTGATGTTGCTCAGGTTTTCCTGCACGTCTTCCTCCAGATCCACGATTTTCTCAAACGGGCCAGGATCCACCTCGACTGGAAATTCGTTTGCTTCTTTCCGGAAGTTACCCAAACCTTCATTTTCATCAACAATTCTCTCATTTGTTTCCTTAAACAATTGATTTTGCTCAACAGGATCGTGCACGATTTCGTTTGGTTGGGCCATGTTGTTGTCATGTTCTTTAAAACCCATATTGTCGATCTGTTTAGCCTTCTCCTCTACAGAGTTTTCGTGATGAAAACCCCTGTTAGCGTTATCGTTATCTATAACTCGTCCGCCAGGAGGCTCCCTTTGTATCGGAGCTTCTTGTGGTGACTGCTTATCAGGTGGTGCAAGGACGTTCTGTTCTTCAAGATGAATACTGTCTTGTACTGGGGTGTCATTTTGTTGAAGTTCCTCTACATGATGAGCCTGTAATCAAAATCAACGTACTTTAAAGACAAATATTCGATAAATTATCATAAAACAGGTCCGTTTTCGTGTTCTCTATCATAGTTTACATATATATTTAGTTTCATACGTTTCTGAATCTATGATCTTTTAGTGAAGACGAACATAATAGGTATGAGAAATAGTAGTATGATAAAACATGAATGACGTTCATCAATAAGGTGTCATTGGAATTGAACCCGCGCAGGTTCGGTGAAAGTCCTGCTGTATGCAGTGGCAAAGTCATAAAAGGCGAATAATGTCTCCATCCCCATGTAAAATCGAGAGTGCTTTCATATCTTGTCTTCTTTTAAGAGGATATTGTAAAAACTAAAAAAAAATACTTAAAAGGCGACTTATGTTGGCGCCCTGCTGATTAGGGGGTTATCTTCTGTGTCCTTTACTAAGAGGACATGATAGTACGCACGGTGGCTGAGTTTTACCATTGTGTTGTTTCGTCTTTTCACCGCGAAAACACTGGAATAAGTAGTTTCAAATTATCGTTTCGTCTTTTCGGGTCGAGCAGACGAAAGGAGGACAATTAAGATTTGTAAATTCTCGTCTTTTCGGGTTGAAAAGACGAAATAACGAAATAACACAAATTAATACTAAAATTGATCTGCTGCCCCCATTGCAACACGTGAACTACTTTTCATTCCTGATCTTTTCTGTATACTTTCCTTTTTTTGATTGGCTTTTAAATATTTATAGACAGTGAACACGACTGTCGAGATTTCGGCAGCATGGGCGTCGTTACGACAAAGTATAAGGCTGCAGCTGATGGAAATTGACCAATTGGCATTTTAAAGTAAATATTAGTCAAACGAGTGAACAAGCTGTTCCTCCCGACTTATCCGTAATGCTAGGTAATAGTATGAATCTTTCATATATCAGGTTAATATGTAACTTACTATGTGAATTTACAGTTAGTTGGAAAGAGAATGCACGAAACTCAGCTGATATTATTTTGAATGTTTTAGTGGAATTTAAGTAAGTTTTTCCAAGTACCTGAATTACAGGACGCATATGCAAATAAAAATGACAATAAATCAGATGAATGGATTTGATTGGATGAATGTATTAAGCGAAGACAGCTGAGGCTGGTGGAAAAGTTTAAAATATCTAGCAACAAGACTGTGTTTGAAGTAATTACATGTAAATAACTCAATATTATCTTCTCCTTGGTTTATCATAAATTAAATCTATCACTCTTGTATTGTCTATAATTCTCTGATTAAGGTTGTTGAGGTGACCAACTACGATCCTATTGTGGTGTAGATATGTTGCCTATTGTTACGAGTCGATCCTATTGTGGTGTAGTTATGTTGCCTATTGTTACTAGTCGATCCTATTGTGGTGGAGTTATGTTGCCTATTGTTACGAGTTGATCCTATTGTGGTGTAGTTATTTTGCCTATTGTTATGTGTCGATCCTATTGTGGTGTAGTTCTGTTGCCTATTGTTACCAGTCGATCTTATTGTGGTGTAGATATGTTGCCTATTGTTACTAGTCGATCCTAATGTGGTGTAGTTATGTTGCCTATTGTTACCAGCCGATCCTATTGTGGTGTAGTTCTGTTGCCTATTGTTACCAGTCGATCCTATTGTGGGGTAGTTATGTTGCCTATTGTTGTGTGTCGATCCTATTGTGATGTAGGTATGTTGCCTATTGTTACTAGTCGATCCTATTGTGGTGGAGTTATGTTGCCTATTGTTACGAGTCGATCCTATTGAGGTGTAGTTATGTTGCCTATTGTTATGTGTCGATCCTATCGTGATTTTGTTATGTTGCCTATTGTTACCAGTCGATCCTATTGTGGTGTAGTTATGTTTCCTATTGTTACCAGTCGATCCTATTGTTGGGTAGTTATGTTGCCTATTGTTGTGTGTCGATCCTATTGTGATGTAGATATGTTGCCTATTGTTACGAGTTGATCCTATTGTGGTGTAGTTATGTTTCCTATTGTTACCAGTCGATCCTATTGTGGTGTAGTTATGTTGCCTAATGTTACAAGTCGATCCTATTGTGGTGTAGTTATGTTGCCTATTGTTACGAGTCGATCCTATTGTGGGGTAGTTATGTTGCCTATTGTTACCAGTCGATCCTAGTGTGGTGTAGTTATGTTGCCTATTGTTATGTGTCGATCCTATTGTGGTGTAGATATAATGCCTATTGTTATTTGTCGATCCTATCGTGGTGTAGTTATGTTGCCTATTGTTAATGTGTCGATCCTATCGTGGTGTAGTTATGTTGCCTATTGTTACCAGTCGATCCTATTGTGGTGTAGTTATGTTGCCTATTGTTACGAGTCGATCCTATTGTGGTGTAGTTATGTTGCGTATTGTAATGAGCCGATCCTATTGTGGTGTAGTTATGTTGCCTATTGTTACTAGTCGATCCTATTGTGATGAAGTTATGTTGCCTATTGTTATGCATAGATCCTATTGTGATGTACAGTAGTTATGTAGCCTATTGTTATGTGTCGATCCTATCGTGATTTTGTTATGTTGCCTATTGTTACCAGTTGATCCTATTGTAGTGTAGTTATGTTGCCTATTGTTATGTGTTGATCCTATCGTGGTGTAGTTATGTTGCCTATTGTTACCAGTCGATCCTATTGTGGTGTAGATATGTTGCCTCTTGTTATGTGTCGATCCTATCGTGGTGTAGTTATGTTGCCTTTTGTTATGAGTCGATCCTATTGTGGTTTAGTTATGTTGACTATTGTTACGAGTCGATCCTATCATGTTGTGGCTATGTTGCCTATTGCCTATTGTTATGTGTCGATCCTATTGTGGTGTAGTTATGTTGCTTATTGTTATGAGTCGATCCTATTGTGATGAAGTTATGTTGCCTATTGTTATGAGTCCATCCTATTGTGGTGTAGTTATGTTGCTTATTGTTATGTGTCGATCCTATCGTGGTGTAGTTACGTTGCCTATTGTTTGAAGGTTATGTTGCCTATTGTTACCAGTCGATCCTATTATGGTGTAGTTATTTTGCCTATTGTTATGAGTCGATCCTATTGTGGTGTAGTTATGTTGCGTATTGTAATGAGTCGATCCTATTGTGGTGTAGTTATGTTGCCTATTGTTACCAGTCGATCCTATTATGGTGTAGTTATGTTGCCTATTGTTATGAGTCGATCCTATTGTGATGTAGTTATGTTGCGTATTGTTATGAGTCGATCCTATTTTGGTGTAGTTATGTTGCCTACTGTTACCAGTCGATCCTATGTTGGTGTTGTTATGTTGCCTATTGTTACCTGTCGATCATATTGTGATGTAGTTATGTTGCCTATTGTTACCAGTCGATCCTATCGTGGTGTAGTTATGTTGCCTATTGTTATGAGTCGATCCTATTGTGGTGTAGTTATGTTGCCTATTGTTACTAGTCGATCCTATTGCGATGTAGTCATGTTGCCTATTGTTATGAGTCGATCCTATTGTGGTGTAGTTATGTTGCCTATTGTTACCAGTCGATCCTATCTTGGTGTAGTTATGTTGCCTATTGTTACGAGTCGATCCTATTGTGATGTAGTTATGCTTCATATTGTTAAGAGTCGATCCTATCGTGGTGTAGTTATGTTGCCTATTGTTACCAGTCGATCCTATCGTGGTGTAGTTATGTTGCCTATTGTTACCAGTCGATCATATTGTGGTGTAGTTATGTTGCCTATTGTTACGAGTCGATCCTATTGTGGTGTAGTTATGCTTCCAATTGTTAAGAGTCGATCCTATTGTGGTGTAGTTATGTTGCCTATTGTTACTAGTCGATCCTATTGTGGTGTTGTTATGTTGCCTATTGTTACTAGTCGATCCTATTGTGGTGTAGTAATGTTGCATATTGTTACCAGTCGATCCTATTGTGGTGTTGTTATGCTGCCTATTGTTACTAGTCGATCCTATCGTGGTGTAGTTATGTTGCCTATTGTTATGAGTCCATCCTATCGTGGTGTAGTTATGTTGCCTATTGTTATGCGTCGACGCTATTGTGGTATAGTTATGTTGCCTATTGCTACCAGTCGATCCTATTGTGGTTTAGTTATGTTGACTATTGTTACGAGTCGATCCTATCATGGTGTGGCTATGTTGCCTATTGTTATGAGTCCATCCTATTGTGGTGTTGTTATGTTGCCTATTGTTATGTGTCGATCCTATCGTGGTGTAGTTACGTTGCCTATTGTTACTAGTCGATCCTATTGTGGTATAGTTATGTTGCCTATTGCTACCAGTCGATCCTATTATGGTGTGGCTATGTTGCCTATTGTTATGCGTCGACGCAATTGTGGTATAGTTATGTTGCCTATTGCTACCAGTCGATCCTATTGTGGTGTAGTTATGTTGCCTATTGTTACCAGTCGATCCTATTATGGTGTGGCTATGTTGCCTATTGTTATGCGTCGACGCAATTTGTAGTTATGTTGCCTATTGTTATGTGTCGATCCTATTGTGGTGTAGTTATGTTGCCTATTGTTACTAGTCGATCCTATTGTGGGATAGTTATGTTGCCTATTGCTACCAGTCGATCCTATTGTGGTGTAGTTATGTTGCCTATTGTTATGAGTCCATCCTATTGTCGTGTTGTTATGTTGCCTATTGTTATGTGTCGATCCTATCGTTGTGTAGTTATGTTGCCTATTGTAACCAGTCGATCCTATTGTGGTGTTATGTTGCCTAATGTTATGTGTCGACGCTATTGTGGTATAGTCATGTTGCCTATTGTTATGAGTCGATCCTGTTGTGGTTTTGTTATGTTGCCTATTGTTATGAGTCGATCCTATTGTGGTGTTTTCATGTTTCCTATTGTTATGAGTCGATCCTATTGTGGTGTGGTTATGTTGCCTATTGTTATGCGTCGATCCTATTGTGGTTTAGTTATGTTGCCTATTGTTACGAGTCGATCCTATTGTGGTGTTTTCATGTTTCCTATTGTTATGAGTCGATCCTATTGTGGTGTAGTTATGTTGCCTATTGTTATGAGTCGATCCTATTGTGGTGTGGTTATGTTGCCTATTGTTATGCTTCGATCCTATTGTGGTTTAGTTATGTTGCCTATTGTTTCGAGTCGATCCTATTGTGGTGTAGTTATGTTGCCTATTGTTACCAGTCGATCCTATTGTGTTGTAGTTATGTTGCCTATTGTTATGAGTCGATCCTATTGTTGTGTAGATATGTTGCCTATTGTTACCAGTCGATCCTATTGTGGTGTAGTTATGTTGCCTTTTGTTATGGGTCGATCCTATTGTGGTGTAGTTATGTTGCCTATTGTTACAAGTCGATCCTATTGTGGTGTAGTTATGTTGCCTATTGTTATGAGTCGATCCTATTGTGGTGTAGTTATGTTGCCTAATGTTACAAGTCGATCCTATTGTGGTGTCGTTATGTTGCCTATTGTAATGAGTCGATCCTATTGTGGTGCGGCTATGTTGCCTATTGTTACCAGGCGATCCTATTGTGGTGTAGTTATGTTGCCTATCGTTATGAGTCGATCCTATTGTGGTGTAGTAATGTTGCCTATTGTTACGAGTCGATCCTATTGTGGGGGAGTTATGGTGCCTATTGTTACGAGTCGATCCTATTGTGGGGGAGTTATGGTGCCTATTGTTACGAGTCGATCCTATTGTGGGGGAGTTATGGTGCCTATTGTTACGAGTCGATCCTATTGTGGGGGAGTTATGGTGCCTATTGTTACGAGTCGATCCTATTGTGATGTAGTTATGTTCCCTATTGTTATGAGTCGATCCTATTGTGGCGTAGTTATGTTGCCTATTGTTATGAGTCGACCCTATTGTGGTTTAGTTATGTTGCCTATTGTTACCAGTCGATCCTATTGTTGTGTAGTTATGTTGCCTATTGTTATGATTCGATCCTATTGTGGTTTAGTTATGTTGCCTATTGTTACGAGTCGATCCTATTGTGATGTAGTTAGGTTGCCTATTGTTATGAGTCGATCCTATTGTGGTGTCGTTATGTTGCCTATTGTAATGAGTCGATCCTATTGTGGTGCGGGTATGTTGCCTTTTGTTACCAGTCGATCCTATTGTGGTGTAGTTCTGTTGCCTATTGTTACGAGTCCCATCCTCTCGTGGTGTAGTTATGTTGCCTATTGTTACCAGTCGATCATATTGTGGTGTAGTTATGTTGCCTATTGTTACGAGTCCATCCTATTGTGGTGTAGTTATGTTGCTTATTGTTATGAGTAGATCCTATTGTGGTGTAGTTATGTTGCCTTTTGTTATGAGTCGATCCTATTGTGGTGTAGTTATGTTGCCTATTGTAATGAGTCGATCCTATTGTGGTGCGGCTATGTTGCCTATTGTTACCAGTCGATCCTATTGTGGTGTAGTTATGTTGCCTATTGTTATGAGTCGATCCTATTGTAAAGTGGTGACGTGTTCAGGATTAGTGCACACGTAAGCTGTATTTCTCTGTTGAGTTAAAGACAAAATACCGTTTAAATGTATCTGAGCGAAATCCAGTTATTTCGACAATGGCTAGGATTCTGTAATATATCGACCTAACTTAGAGGCAAGCCGTTGTTTGGATGTTACATAATCTATGTCCGGCATTGAGAAGACTTGGTCTGGCTAGTTTCCAGGTAATACTTTTCTTTTCTCTAGCCTCATAAGTTCTAAACTAGCCTTATACGTTCTAAAAAAACAAATGTTGCTGGTTTTTTTTCCAGATAACAAAGTCTGATATTAATCAATGGGTTGACATCCTCAATAGTGACATGTTATAGCTTTCCGCGAAGAAGTAAGCATTGAACTATGTTTTGTTGTACGATACATGAAGCGTTACAGGGTGATCGGGTAGCGCAGTGGATAGTGTACCAAGGCCTCCGTGTGTTTTCTCCGAGTACTCCGGTTTCCTTCCACACTACATACTAACCCCCCCCCCCTCGCACTAACATCCTGGCCAACAAAGGTGAAAGATATAAGTTGAAATAAGTTGTTTCATAATTGTTGTCAAATGAAGTAAATAAAGTTTATTATAGGTGTTACCGTATCGTTAGAGGGAGGTAATGGTGTAAGTCTGATAACGATATTTACCTGGAATATTTCCCGATATATTGAGTGAATGGCGACTCCCAGAATAATCAGCACCAGATATTTCAGTATTTTCTTATAGCTAAACCTTTTGACCCGGAAAGAGCTTGTCATATGTACGGCCCCTCCGAGCTCGAGACTCCCTATTGGGTCGCGATGGTTTTTCTTTCTCAACATTGTCTGATGAACTGAGGGCGCCGTACACGCCCGGAGTGAACTTAAACGTCCCGTGCTCGTCTTCACAGAAAACTAGTGTCCCGTTATTTTGTGATTACAGGTACTCTTGGCTCGTCCTAACATATAATGTAAGCCATCTTCTTTTACTCGCGAATACAAAAATCCATACGTGTCCTCACAAGTTAATTATTAAGGCTCCGTACACCTTATTTAAGGTGGAAATCTGTAGTCCCACGTGCACCAAAGCCTCCGTACTAGAATCCACTTCACGTTACGTACTCCTCAGTAAAAGTACAATCCACGGTACTTCTGTTCACAGTATTTAATATAAAGTACTCATCCTCAAATCTACTAAAGTCCGGCAGTGTACTTATACCCAGTTTCCGTAATGGTCCTCACAGGTTATACAATTCCTAAACCATCGTCTTCCTAAAGATTCCGTTTTCACAAGTTTGCTCAAAAGTAGGGCCCGTACTCGTGTTCACGTGTAATAAGGTCAACTAATCATATTCCTTCATACTCAGGTACACGTGATACCACCCACGAGTAATTAAAGTTCTGTACCCCTTAACAAGTTACATTACTGTCTCTTTTACTACCACGTTTATCTTTTATCCGAAACCTTAACGTCAACAGTTGACATAGTTGACTCCTGTTAATTTCACGTAACATGTCACTGTGAAGGCTATCCTGACGATAACGACTGAATATGTCGGGTTAGTCAGGTATATGTGGCAGTCAATATACGACGTGTCCTTTAAGTAACAGATGGCGCTCGAATAAGGGATTTCAACAAAATTCTTAAATCGATCTGTTTTGTATAACATTGACTGTACAGGTAAGTTCTATTGAACCAACGTCGTTCTTATTTGTCATCTTATCATGTGTTGTAATTGAAGGGTGGAGTACGTGTTAATTCTAGCCAGCAGCCGTACCCCAAAAAGTATACGACGGAGCTTTAAAAGTATACTGTGACGCAATCATGAAAATGTATGACGTTCTCGTCAAAGAAAATAACGATACTGTATGTTTTATTGGATTAGAAGTAGTGTATCTGTCAAGGCTCCCGTCAAAATAGTCCAACACAGCCAAGTTTACAATCGAGGTGCATTTTAAGTACATTACACTACTTCCGGCATGTTCAAAAGGACAACCGCCATTGTCAAATACACTGAGATTATACCTACCATAAACAATCCGTAGTTTAGATTATTTATTTTTTTTAAATTTTCTGACCGTCGAGACAAGTGAAACCTATCACCTGTCTACAGCCAACAGGGGTTGGGCTACACTGATAGATACACGTTTAAATATTTAATGTTTCACGTGAAATGTATATATTATTTGCTCTCACTGTGCATCGGACAAACATCCATTGGACATATTTATAGGTCTCATATATTAAACGTCGGTAAGGGCCTGTATGGGTACTAGGTCCGAACAAACAAATGTTCGTTGGCTGTTTTTTCTTGTATAGATTAGCGACAATGCGGACAAAACCAAATTGTCAAATGTTTGAGGCAATCCGTCTCTTAGTCAAGATACACATATCAAACAATTACATATCTCAAAATATAACACAGAGAAAACAGTTAGCATGTAACAATTACACATAAGAAATGATTAAAGAGAAAACCGTTATTACAATGTACTAAACTTATATACTGACGTTAATGCATTTGGATCTTTCGGTCGAATGGGATCCCTTTGATCGTAGATACCCGCCACTATAATTATATTTTATATTTTATTTCATTCTAGTACACTGTCTCACAATACACCATCTAAAAAGACAAATAGTTATTTATATGCTGATATTAATCCCTTTGGCCCACTAGGAACCGAAGGCAATTAATATGTAAACCTAATGCTATAAGTATACATGTATATCATTCTGTACGTGTATCTATACCCACGTGTATCTTTTCCCTAATGATACACAAGAAAAAACCAGTGCGATATAGTAGAGAATAGGGGGCCGAGCGAGCCACCCAACCTGAAAAATAACTGGTAAACCAAACAAATCAGAAGGTGCACCAGCCCTTTAAGGCTCGAAACTTCAAATTGCTGGGATTACTCTACCATAGCCACGTTACCCTAATCCACTGACCCTGCCAAAAGATATATATTAATCAAATTAATGTGACCGTCGCGATGGAAGGCGGCTAGAAAATCAGCAACGCTCCCCGATACACTTACACGTATCGCACGTGCTACATATAGCGCCAATCCGATTGGTCGAGCACCCTCGGTAATATCCGTATCGAACCGATAAGACATATACTTCCCGCTATTCACCGAACCGCGGGGATATATTAGTATTAATTGTATACCATGTACTGTAAAGCGCTTTAGAATGGCTTATGTTAGCTAGATAGGGCGCTATATCAAATGCTGTATACTATTATTATAGCATGGATTGGTTAGGTTTGGTTTGGGTTAGTTTTGTTTAACATCCTATTATATATATATAACTAACAGCTAAGATTATTTAAGGACGTGCCTCCATGTGTGTAGTGTAAGCGTGTTTGCGTGTATGTATGCAGGAGACAGGATATTTTAGAGTTCTTGCCTCCTTGTGATAGCACGGATCTGATCCCCTAAATGCTGAACGTTAAGCAGGGAATAACAACTACCATTTTAAGGACTTTGGTATATCCAGGCCTAGGGACAGAACCCATTGCCTTTCTCACCTAGGCGAACGCTCAACATTAAGGCCAAACAAGTGAGGTGTTGCCAAGCAAAGCGCTAGGAAATAAAAGGTAGTTAAAAGTAGAAAGAATTATAAAGATCCCAAAATGCAATAGGTGCAGCATTTTGATTGTGGTCGCCTTTGTTCCCCAAATAGAGAAACCAAAGCAATTATGCAGGTGGTTTCCGCATTAGTCGCCTCCTACGATACTTGCAGTTGGTAACAGCAGGTGTATTCTTTTCCCGACCCCCACCTGCAGGTGTTAGCATGGAAAGAATGTGGATCATCGCTGGGCATAAAGAGACAAACACGATGTTTCTATCGGAAATACTCCCGGGATCTGACCCACACCAAGAAATTTAGTCCCGAATGGGTCAAAACATGAAAGCGTTTGAGATCACCATACCATAGCCCTACTTTTTGTCATAATTAAGTGTACATGCTTGGCACGACGAGACGAACGCTGAAATGCTACCAGGATAAGCTCTTGTTCTGGTCCAGCCCCTGCAATACCTGGTATATTTGTACTTTTTAGCGATTACATTTTGCCATTATTTCTTAAATATCCGATTAAGGAAGCGATACAACTTGTAACTTATCAGCAGTGGCTAAAATGATTGATCACGAGTATACTGAGAAAGTACATGTTGGGTTTTAATAAAACTGTCCTAATATTTAACAATAAAATGCTATAGGTTTACGGTGGTGTTGATTGCATACTTGTCAAAATTAAAGCAAGGAATTCTATTCTGAAAATGCAGTTTAGTACATGATTTAAGACCAAGTGTTCACGTGATTCACGTGCACTTTACACTACAGTGAAACACCAAACACGTACGCCAATCGGGGTCAGCGCCGTCTACTGTAGTAAGAGAGAACGCTGACTGCTGTCCGATACTGATACATTACGGCGATTACCCCCCTTAGTCCGTGTAACCGTCACTAGCAGTGTATAACGACAAATATACACAATGATACGGTGGCTTATTAGATTAGCGAGGTAGTCTTCTTTTGTCTGCTGCACCGCATAACATTTCTAGCACTCAGACACATTATCACTTCTCTTTACCTTGCCAAGCAGGTTACAGGGAGGCATACGGGGCAAGGTAGGGCTGATGAGCCGAGTACAGGGGGAGCAAAACATCTACGTGGTACATATTAATGAAAGACCCATGAGCCGGTGACAAAGGACGACGTAACAAGGCAGATGCGCATTGTATGATAAGATGGCACTCTCGCCTTTCAAAAATATGCCGAAACGTTTTGGTTTAAATGTCCAACAACGTCAGATTTCTCTGGGTACTGAAGCGGTGGGGATACTGTAATATGAATCCAATCCTATGATACCCTTAAACAATGCTATATGTAGTATGTATTCAACCCTGTTATAGTGATGCCCGTGGTATGTATTGCATCATGTGATAATGATGCCCGTGGTATGTATTCAACCCTGTTATATTGATGCCCGTGGTATGTATTGCATTGTAATATGAATCCAATCCTATGATACCCTTAAACAATGCTAGATGTAGTATGTATTCAGCCCTGATATAGTGATTCCCGTGGTATGTATCCAACCATGTGATAGTGATACCCGTGGTATGTATCACACCCTGTTATAGTGATGCCCGTGGTATGTATTGCATCATGTGATAGTGATGCCCGTGGTATGTATTCCATCATGTGATAATGATGCCCGTGGTATGTATTCAACCATGATATAGTGATGCCCGGGGTATGTATCCAACCCTGTTATAGTGATGCCCGTGGTATCTATCCAACCATGTGATAGTGATGCCCGTGGTATGTATTGCACCATGTGATAGTGATGCCCGTGGTATGTATCCAACCCTTTTATAGTGATGCCCGTGGTATGTATTGCATCATGTGATACTGATGCCCGTGGTATGTATTGCATCATGTGATAGTAATGCCCGTGGTATGTATCCAACCCTGTTATAGTGATGCCCATGGTATGTATTGCATCATGTGATAGTGATGCCCGTAGTATGTTTTCATTCCGGTGATAATGATGCCTGTAGTATGTTCATGTGATAGTGATGCCCGTGGTATGTATCCAATACTGTTCTAGTGATGCCCGTGGTATGTATTCATTCCTGTGATAGTGATGCCTGTAGTATGTATTCAACTCTGTGATAGTGATGCCCGTGGTATGTTTTGCATCATGTGATAATGATGCCCGTGGTATGTTTTGCATCATGTGATAATGATGCCCGTGGTATGTTTTGCATCATGTGATAGTGATGCCCGTGGTATGTATTCAACCATGTGATAGTGATACCCGTGGTATGTATTGCATCATGTGATAGTGATGCGCGTGGTATGTATCCAACCCTGTTATAGTGATGCCCATGGTATGTATTGCATCATGTGATAGTGATGCCCGAGGTTTGTATTGCATCATGTGATAGTGATGCCCGTGGGATGTATTGCATCATGTGATAATGGTGCCCGTTGTATGTATTGCATCATGTGATAGTGATGCCCGTGCTATGTATTGCATCATGTGATAGTGATGCCCGTGCTATGTATTGCATCATGTGATAGTGATGCCCGTGGGATGTATTGCATCATGTGATAATGGTGCCCGTTGTATGTATTGCATCATGTGATAGTGATTCCCGTGGTATGTATTGCATCATGTGATAATGATGGCCGTGGTATGTATTGCATCATGTGATAGTGATGACCGCGGTATGTATCCAACCATGTGATAGTGATACCCGCGGTATGTATCACACCCTGTTATAGTGATGCCCGTGGTATGTTTTGCATCATGTGATAATGATGCCCGTGGTATGTATCGCATCATGTGATAGTGATGCCCGTGGTATGTATCGCATCATGTGATAGTGATGCCCGTGGTATGTATCCAACCCTGTTAAAGTGATGCCCGTGGTATGTATCCAACCATGTTATAGTGATGCCCGTGGTATGTACATTGTATCAACCCTGTTAGAGTGATG